TGTTCTTTCTTTCTTTCCCAGTCTGGGCAGCTGCTCAGCTTTCTGTGTCTGTGTGACTTTTCCAGAGGAGTCTAAAGACAGAAGACAGTCTTTATCGTCTCGTCTGTCAGAGAAAGTTCAGGCTTCGCTGGACGCCAACCGTGACAAAGATGAGGACTTCATGCCAGACAGGAAGCGCATCCGTACCGCAGAGCACCAGGTAACCACGGGTCACCGCTCGCTATCTGTGCTCATTAACTTTGATTTGGACACATTGAAGAAGGGACCTTAAACCGGCTCCTCGGGGCCCCTGTCCAGCTTTTTCACATGTGATGCTGTTGCCAATTAAAGAACCCAGAGGATGAGGCTTAGAAGCTGCTGGTAGAAACCATTCTAACCAGGCAGCAGCCTGCACTGGTTGAATCATCACTTTCTGAACTCAAACCCAACAGCCCCTCCTAGTGGTGGTCTGGTATTACTGTAACTTCACTGGAATACAGATGAGATCAATGTTTAGCTAATAGATGGACAGAAATCCTGCTCACGCTGGTGTTAAAGTGCCCCCCCCCGTTTCCCTTTTAGAGCCATAAAAAGCAGCGAACACAACGAGGCGTCATATTCATGGATGATGAACCGGAACCAGAGAATGAAACTTCTGGTCCTCAGAGCTGGAAAACAGCATCAAGCAGCCAGGCGGCCGGTTCGTCCTCATCATGCAGTGTAAGTCCATCTTTACGTTCTTTAAAACGTAAAGAAAAAATGTGTTTCATAAACCATAAACTTTTATACTAGAAGTGCTGTGTGTGTGTGTGTGTGTGTGTGTGTGTGTGTGTGTGGGCTCTGGTCGGCCAGGTCAAGATCCGCAATTCCATTGGCACCAAACAGGAAAAAGAACGGCGAGGAGATCTGGTTTGTTAAATTAAAATATGGTAACGATGGATTAGTAACTACAGATTAGAGGATAATTCTGATAAATTCCCAAAAACTATTGGTTCTTCAACAGACCAGGAAGCAGATTTCTCATCTCCATCAAAATATTTATTTTATACTGAGAGGCTTAAAAGTTTAATCAAATCCAGTCACAGCAACTTCCAAGAGCGCGTCTCACAACATCAGAACAACCTTCTTACCTCAGGCCTGGATGAAGAGATGCTGAGTTTGGAGATGGAGAACAAACAGTTCATCCCAACCATGGATGATCCTCTTTAACCATCTTAGAAAATCCACAACAAAAAGAAAATATTTGGGCAGAAACTGTTTATATGCTGGATGCTGATGGGGATTTTTTAAGCTGTCATATTAAATTAAGCGTTCATTTCTGCTTGTTTTGCTCCTATGAATGTAATAATAATATCGCGCATGCTCTGCTGGAGCCCTGAGAAAGTCGGAGCGGTGCAGGATGGGAGGAACAGCGGAGGCTGTAGGCTTTGCTTTGTGCAGGAGGACTGGAGCGGAGCGCGGCGGGGCGGAGCGCGGCGGGGCGGAGCGCGGCGGGCCGGTTACGGAGGATGTTTGATTTCAGGGTTAGCTGCTTATGTTATGGAAAGGATTAGCATGCAGTTAACCTGGCTTGAACAATTATAAACGTGACTGAAAACCTGGATAATGTTAAACTGGCAGCTTTAGAGGGACAGAAAGTATTCAGTCAGCCACTGATGGAGCCACTCTCCTTAGAAAGATGGCTGTACTTTTCATCATGGGTTCATTTCAACTATGAGAAACACAGCAGAAAAACATCCAGGAAATCTTTACGTAAGGGTTTGAAAGACGATTAATAAATAATCATGGAAAATAATTATTTGGTCAAAAACAGGTAGGGCAACATGTCTGGTCCTCTTTACAGAGCTGTAACTTCTTAAACAAATAATTCTGTCTTTCACACTTTACCTGTTTCAATGGATCAAAAGAAATTCCTTTTTTTTTTTACTTTCAAAAATTCAGTTTCTGCTGCTAAAATGCAATTTAGAAAATATATAATTACAGTTTGGGCCAGGAATGTGATTTTGCCAAAGCCAATAATAAGGCACTCAGTGGGCAGCCTTGGCGCGTCGAGCGACGGAGGCCAAAATGCCAGATTGAGGATTATTTGTCCTAATTGAAGCGAATGCGTCAGACAGTGTTGTGGTCAAGACCACCTAACCCGAGACAAGACCAAGACCAAATGCAGTCAGGTCTGAGACGAGACCCAGACCATCAAAAAATGGTCTCGAGACCAAGACCGATCTCGAGTACTACAACACTGGCGTCAGAATAAAGTAACGTAATCCGAGACAGAAAATTTCGCCCAAAGTCAAATGTTTTAATTGAGTAGAATAAATATGGCCACTTGACTCTGTCAAAGGCTTTTTTGATATAACTTGTGTAGTACTGACAGAGGGTGGGCTGTATGTTACATTAAAGAGTCGTCTTATGTTGGAAAAGCAGTTCCTATTTTATATAATGTCGTTCTGATCTTTCCCAGCTACAGTGAGAAGCACTCTTTCTAATCTTAGTGCTATTTGTTTTTGCTGTAATATCCAGTCAGCATTAAGTAAACTTATCGAGTTAGGAAGAACAGAGAGGAGTCTTTCCCTTTTTTAGGAAGTAAAGTAATAACTGTCTGATTAAGGGTCTGGGGTAGAAATCCAGAGGTCAAAGGTTGATTGTAAAGCTCTAAATGTAGTGGAGAGAACCTGTCCTAAAACAGGCCTGGGCATTTACCCGCCTGCAGCGCCCTAACTGCCTCAGTGGGTTCAGAGGTGACAGCAGGTCTCTGGAGATTGTCAGCTACATCCTGATTGATGGTAGGAACATCCAAATCCTTAGAGTTACCAAAATCAGTTACAGAACGAGTATAATGACCTATAAAACTCCTTCATTTCCACGGGGTCAGTTGTGACCCCCCTGGGTAGTTTGGAGAGGGGCTGACACTTGGTGAGCCGGGAGTTTACCAGCCTGATCTCCATGTTCATAAAAACTTTAAATAGGAGATAATTTTCCCTTGATGAAGCGTCTTCCAGACTAGTGGCCAACGCCTCCGGTCCTCTATTACTCTAGAATCTAGAGTAATAGAGGACCGGAGGCGTTGGCCACTAGTCTGGAAGACGCTTTATCTAGAGTCTAGATAAAGGGAGGGGCAGCCTAGTGCTTAGGGCACAGAGTTGGATCCCAGAGGTTCAACCCCCCCCACTCCCACAGCCTCCACTCTGGATCCCTGAGCAAGACCCTTAACCCCACACTGCTCCGTGGGCGCCGCACCATGGCAGCCCACTGCTCCCCGAGGGGAGGGGTTAAATGCAGAGGGTGAATTTCGTTGCTCTGTACCTGTGAGAGTAGAATGACAATAGAAGCTGGAAAAGAGAAATGTGATGGAGGGTTGGACCGAAATACCAACTGGATTAAACCTGGAGACTGACAGGAAACATCTGACCTCTGCCAATGCTAAAGGCTAGGCTACAAACTATTTAGTTGAACAATTGATGTTGATCGAATACTGAAATACAAAAAAATCTTTTAAATCAATAAAGTAATTTTGTGTCCATAATCCAGTGTGGAAGATCTTTCCAGTTGACCTTGAAGCGCAGCCATCTGCTCCCTCTGTTTGGTCTGAATGATGTTCTGACATGCGGCTGAAAACGGCTCTCATTTTAGGTTCAGTGGACTAAAGTCTGTCCTGCTTTATTTAGTCAGACTGACCACTTCCACTCACTGTTCACTTCCTGGGTGGGAAGAGAAAAGTCTTCCACTTGGGAATAAAGTCCAGTGGATTGTTTTTAACTTTTTTGGAATGACTGAGAGTTTTCACCAGCTTCTGACCACTAGGTGGGGATATAGTCCACGGATTGAACATGAAGGCTTCAGCCTTGACCAAGCTGAGATGTCAAAGCCATTAAAGTTTGATGCTGCTTTGGTATCTTTAGACAAAACAGATTTCATTTTATTTTATTGTTTCTCCTAAAATAAATTCATAACCATCCTGAAATAAAAGCAGTTTCAATTCTTATTGTTAAAAACGCTGCCTTATCCATAGATTTTACTCTAATGTCTAATTATTTAACCTGCATCTGCCAGCTACCTTCTCTGTCTCCCGTCAAAGACGTCCTTTACGTCTAAATAAAAATGGTTCTTTAACGTACCTGTTGGTCATGTTGTGGCTTTAGAGTCTGCAGCTCTGTGGCGTTTCTTATCTTCCCTTCAACAGACGGATGTTCGTCACAATGTTTTATGCCATTTATTGTTATAGTGAAAACATTTCTAACCAGTAAAAAAGTTTTCCCAGGACAAAGGTCAGAAGTTTGGTTTTTATCACCAAATTGCATTTCCTGATATTTTAAAGCAGAGAAACAGCTGAAACTGATAAATGTGACGATAGGTCCTCATGCAGCTGGTTGGTTGGTCTCATACACTTCCTGGATCTACATCATCTTGCTAAAATCAGGCCACTGATCTTTCACTGAATCTTAATTTAATCCAAACGATTTGCTCCTGCCCTATTCATTGTACTAGTTGATGAAACTCCATGTTTTCTTCTATCAGGTAGTGGTCTAGTTGCACGCTTTGCCTCCCTGCCATAACCCTAATTATTGGCTAAGTAGCAGAAAAAGCAGAACACTGTCTGTTCTGGTTCATGGAATTCACAGGTGATTTTCAGAGCTGTGGCCTCCAACCTGAACCCTGAAGTAACCTGACGACTGTGTTGGATTCCAGCGGCTGCGTCCTGCGAAGGCCAGATTCTGACGATTACATCATAGCGCGGCGCCGAGGCCTGTTCAAATCGGAAGACTCCTCGTTATGCGGCCGACAAATGCGTCCTTCTATTTGCCCGTTTTGGAGGACGGCTCTGCTGTATCCTACGTAGCCTGGGGTATCCCAGGATTCATTGCGAGTCAAAGCAAGCCGTCTGCTCCGTGATCAGAGGAAAAAGGGAAATGGCGCCGACCAGTGGTGAATATTGGAAGTGCAGTTTAATATAATCCAATTTCATCTTCAATTAAAGAAAATTGTTTTGTTTTTTTAACAATATTTTATTGAGATTTATATATATATATATATATATATATATATATATA